GAATAGTAATGCTGCCACTGCTGAGAGTTGTCTCCACTTAGGGAACACTTACGATGTGTCAGTCACTATCAGGTAAGTATGATTATCCTCATTTTATAAATGAGGAAAACTTTCCTGGTATCACACAACTAGGAACCAACTGATCTGAAATGTGAACTTTCATTTGATTTCAAAGCCTAGACTCTTATTCAATATATTCTACAGCTCCTATGAATAAATGAATGAGTATGTGGAAGAAAGGATAAATAGATAGCAGTGTGAAACTGTATTGTACTCATTAAAATTCCTCCCTTAACCTCCACGGCCAGAACACTTGCCTTGCCTTTTTGTTATTTTATTTATTTCATTCTGCTTGAAATACAACTGCCCTTTGAGACAGTAAGCTCCTTGAGGGCAGGAAGTCGTATCTTTCTCATGCCTATATCCACCCATTTGTATTAGTTTCCTGGGGTTACCAAAATTAAGTATCACAAATTGGGTGGCTCACAGTTCTGGAGGCTGAAGTGTGAGATCAAGGTATGGGCCGCTCCAGCCCTCAATCCCAGCTTCTGGTAGTTCTTTTGCTTGTGGCAGGAGAATGTTCACATGGCCTCTTTCCTATGTGCCTGTGTCCACATTTCCCTTTCAGAAGGAGACTGTCACTTTGGACTAGAGCCCACCCTAATGACCTCATCTTAACTTGATCATCTGCAAAGACCCTTTCTCCAAATAAGGCCACATTTACAGGCACTGGGAATGAGGACTTCAACATATTTTGCGGAGGGCGGGGCGGGGGGGGACGGACACACAATTCAACCCATAACACCATGTGTCTGGCAAAAGGTCTTGCAGTTAGCAGTTAGCAGATGCTCAGTTAAGGTTTGTTAAAAGACCTTGAGGGCACCCCAGTGAGACCTGGCCTCCAGCCAGCATGTTTAAGACCCTCTACCCATGGGCAAAGGTGAGGTGGATAAGCACTGTCTAAAGGCACATCATTCCCTGCTAAATCTCTCGATGGCTGGTGGGTGGAGAGGAGCCAGGGTGAATGAGGCTCATCTTCTCTTAGAAAACAAGGTTTCCTCCCAGGAAAGGTATAATATCCTGGGGCTCATTTTGTGGATAAGAAGAAAGGGATTTGGGCAGGCTGCTTTTATGGCAGTGGTGTGGGCCAAGAAGTTGTAAACATGCCATCTGCTGGAATGTGTCTGCCTGCTTCACTTGGCAGATTCTTCAAGGACTGGATGAGCTCCAGCCAATGTCCAAGTCTCTGCATCCTTACTTGGGGCCCATAAGAATCTGTCCTGCTATCCACAGCCCACTCCTCTGTGCCTCCCTGTCTCACCCCCGGGCCTCAGGGAAGTTATTTCATCCTATTTTTTTTAAAATTTAGACACATATCATATTGAGCAGTTCTTAGATGCCTGGCACTTCATGCATGTTGTGTCATTCGATCTTTGCCATAATAGCAGAAACCAGAGTTTTCATTTAATTGCAGAATACATCTATTTTAAAATGAATAAATTTTATCTATAAAATTTTTAAAAATAGTAATAGAATGTGTAACCACTGTACAGGATAAGAAACAGAATATTACCAATATCTTAGAGGTTTCTGTGGACCTCTCTGCAATGATACCACCTTCTCTTCCCTGCAAGAAAAACAACATCTGAATTCTGTTTTAATCATAGCCCTGCTTCTCTTTATAGTTTACCAACTATGTCTGCATCTCTTAGAGTATAATACTTAGTTTTGCCAATTTTTTTCTTTATATGTAAATGCAATCATACTGCTTGTAGTAGTCTTAGAAGCTTATTTCTTTCAATCATCGTTACGTTTTTAAAGATTCATCCATGTTGATACATGTAAAAGTAGCTCATTTTCTCTGCTGTGTAATTTTCCCCTGAATAGAGAAACACAATCTATCTATTCTACTCTACGGATATTCGGGGTGTTATCAATCGGGGCGATTATGAACAACGCTGTCAGTACATTCTTCTACACATCTTTCAGTGCACACAGGTTTTTCCATATGGATAGCCAGTTGTCCCCACACCATTTCTTTCTTTCCATGCTATATACAGTGGCTACTTTGTCTTAACCCACTGAGCCACCCGGGCGCCCCAGTGGCTACTTTGTCTTAATTCAAGTTTCCTATGTACGTGTCTGTTTGGAGCCCTCTCTACTTGTCCATTCGTCTGTTTGTCCCTGCACCAATATCACATTGACTTAATTCCTATAGCTTAAGAAGGTCTTGGCATCTGGTAGGGCAAATCCCGCAGCTTCTCTTTGTCTTCCTAAGAGTATCAGCTATTCTAGGACTTCTGCTCTTTCATAAAAATTCTAGTAATAATTTGTCAAGGTCCAGGAAAATCTCTGGAGAATATTGACTGGAACTCTACAGAATCTCTGTATTTAACAGTCCTTAAGATACTGAAGCTTCCTGTTGAAAAATCAGCTATATGGCCCCATTTATTAGGTCTTCTTTAACCTTTCAATATAGTTCTATAATTTTCTTCACAAAGCAGTTTCACATTTTCTTCTTAAATTTCTTCCTACTTATATTTTGGTGTTTCCATAAATGATTATTTTCTTTAAAAATACTTTTTTGGGGCGCCTGGGTGGCTCAGTTGGTTAAGCGACTGCCTTCGGCTCAGGTCATGATCCTGGAGTCCCGGGATCGAGTCCCGCATCGGGCTCCCTGCTCGGCAGGGAGTCTGCTTCTCCCTCGGACCCTCCCCCCTCTCATGTGCTCTCTTTCTCATTCTCTCTGTCTCAAATAAATAAATAAAATCTTTAAAAAAAATAAAAATAAAAAAAATAAAAATAAAAATACTTTTTTTTTTAAGATTTTATTTATTTATTTGATAGAGACACAGCGAGAGAGGGAACACAAGCAGGGGGAGTGGGAGAGGGAGAAGCAGGCTTCCTGCCGAGCAGGGAGCCTGATGTGGGGCTCGATCCCAGGACCCTGGGATCATGACCTGAGCCGAAGGCAAACGCTTAACGACTGAGCCACCCAGGCGCCCCAAAAATACTTTTTTTTTTAACTGAACACTGATGATGAATGTGATTGACTGTTCATATATTGTTCTTGCATGCAGTCTTTCTTCAAACTCACTTATTCATCCTCAATCTGTAGATCCTTCTGAGTGTTCAAAGCTTTTCTTTTCATTTAAATTTTCAAGCTCTAGCTATGCAAACAATGTTATTTTTTTCTTCCTTATCTTTTCTAATTTTCTAGTCACTGCATTGACTAGGATTTTTCCAGTAAAATATGGGAGGTCAAATGGACTTCCTTTTTTTTCGGATCTTAAATAGAACATTTTCAAGTTTGGGGTACCTGGCTGGCTCAGTGGGAAGAGCACGTGACTCTTGATCTTGGGGTAGTGAGTCTGAGTCCCACATTAGGGAGTAGACTGAACTTAAAAAAATAAGAACATTTTTCACTATTTCCTTTTAAATTAAATGTTTTCTGTAGATATTTTTGTGGATACTATTTTCCAGGTTAGATACATCTCTTTTTTTTATCTTTAGTTTTCTTCTTATATTCATGAATAGATGTTAAATTTTATCAAGTACTTTTCAGGAGTCATTTGAGTCTGGTGGCTCTTTGTTTTGTTTTGTTGTTTTGTGTGTGTGGAAACTTTTAAATTACTAATTATATTTTTTTAAAACTAAGGTAGGACTGGGCGCCTGGGTGGTTCAGATGGTTAAGCGTCTGCCTTCGGCTCAGGTCATGATCCCAGGGTCCTGGGATCGAGTCCCACATCGGGCTCCTGGCTCAGCGGGGAGCCTGCTTCTCCCTCTGACCCTCTCCCCTCTCATGCTGTTTCTCTCTCACTCGCTCTCTAAAAAATAAATAAAATCTAAAAAAAAAAAACTAAGGTAGGACTATTCCAAAAAAAAAAAAAAGAAGGAAAGAAAGAGAGAAAGAAAATAAAAGAAAGAAAGAAAAAGGAAGGAAGAAAAGAAGGAAGGAAGGAAGAAAGAAAGAAAGAAAGAAAGAAAGAAAGAAAGAAAGAAAGCAAGCAAGCGAGCCGGACTTTTCAGATTTTCTGGGGTTTTTTGTTTGTTTTTGATTTTGTTGCAGATTTTCTACTTTTTGAGTCCATTTTTCCGAGTTATATTTTTCTAGGATTCAACCCATTTCATCTAAGTTTTCAAATTCATTGGTATAAAGTTGTTCATAATGTCTTCTTTTCACCTATTAAGTATTTTCATAATTGCAGTTTTGCCTTGTGCTCTCTCTCTCTCTTTTTTTTAAAAGATTATTTATTTATTTGAGAGAGAGCGAGCGAGCATGAGCAGGGAGGAGGAGCAGAGGGAGAGGAGAAGCAGACTCCTGGCAGAGCAGGAGCCCAGCGAGGGGCTCGATCCCAGGACCTCGAGCTCATGACCGGAGCTGAAGGCAGACGCCCAACCAACCAAGCCACCCAGACGCCCCTTTCTTGTTTTCATTCACAGTGTGCTGTTTTCCTAGGATGCTTTTTGAGTTTTATTTTATCATGAGTTGTTCATTTTCCTTGTAACTTTATCTGAAGAAAATGCTAAAGGCTTGAGTTAAAGCTGAGTTCCTTTCAAGAAGATCCAAATTATGGGGTGCCTGGGTGGCTCAGTTGTTAAGCGTCTGCCTTCGGCTCAGATCATGATCTCAGGGTCCTGGGATCAAGCCCCACATCGGGCTCCCTGCTCAGCGGGAAACCTGCTTCTCCCTCTCTCACTCCCTCTGCTTATTGTTCCCTATCTCGATAGATCTCTCTGTCTAGTAATAAATAAAATCTAAAAAAAAAAAAAAAAAAGAAGAAGAAGATCCAAATTACTTCTGCCAGTCTCCTGGGGCACAATTCTGGTACTGCTTTAAGTTGCTTCTTCATGCAATGTTTTTTGACCACACAGGTGGCATGAATTCAGACTGCTAGATCCTTATAAGGGCTCAGTTATGGTTACCTAATCCTGGGGGGGGGGGGGGGGGTTGTTTTATATCTCCACACAGTGACTAGGTCAATATAAGGAAATATTATATTTCTCTGTCCCTCCTTGCTCTCACCTTCTGTGTAGCAGGGATTTTTTTCTGGTTCATGCCTTTGGGATCCCAGTTTATGCTAGGGCGTCTAATTCAATCTCCACTTTGGGCAAGCTCAAGGCTTTATCTCCTACTTCTCAAGTCCTGCACATCCATCAAAACAGAAGTTCAAGTTTCCTGACCTAGGCAAAAACCTCAGAATGAAAATCACCTTGTTCCTAAATTACCTCTGGGTTCCTGCACTTACCTCACTTTTGGGATTCACAGATTCTTTACTTTTAAGACACTAACAATGTGGTTAAAAAAAACAAAAAACACTTTTTTTTTCTCTTCTTTCATTTTAGTTGCTTCAGTTGGAAGGGTTAGTCAGTGCATCTAACTCGTTATACTGCCAAAAAGTGAAACCGAGGTGGTCGTTTCCAGATGACTAAAATGAGGCTTAGTAGAGTCATATCCAAGTCCAAAAGCAGTAAGTGAGTAGTGATGACACCTGAAAGGAACCACAGGTAGCCTGAACTCTCACACAGACTTTTGGTTGATGGACACATGCAGGACAAGTGATTTAAAGCCAGACTCTCATGCAAAAAGTTCCAGGAAGGTTTAGTATCCCCTGGAAAGTGGAAGTTGATATTGTGTCAAGGGAAGAGTGGCTGCTTCCCTTTGTGGTCCCCTCTTCCATGTCATCTGCCCTTTAATACCATCTTGGGTCACAAATCTGGAAATTTTTTGTGTTATGTAAGTGGGAAGATATAGGGCTAGGGACCTTTGTACAATCAGCCAGGTCAGAACTTTGACCTAGAGCATGTCCTTTATTCCTTCATTTAACAAACGTTTGTTGAATACTTTACTATTCCCTGGGGACTCACTGAAAACAAGACCCAGTATCTGCATTCGTAGAGCTTACAGCTGATGGAGGAAACAGAGGAATGGAGCAGACCTTGTAAGGGTAGGATGGTGTCACAAAGGACTAAGCACTGGATTCCATGGCAGGACGACAGAGTCAGGGGGCCAGGGAGATCTTGCTGAAAGAAGTGACATCGAAGCTGAGACCTGGGGGCAAAGAGAAATTGGTCAGGCAGAGAGAGGAGGAGGCCACGGTGGTCCACACACAGTAAGTCCTGAGCCCAGGGGTTGAGGTGAGGAGTGGCATTAGACAAGGCTGGAAGGTGGGCAGAGAGACATATGGGGAAGTATTGTTTCTGTTGCCTTAAGAAGTCTGGACTCTCTCTGGAGGGAAATAAGAAACCAAAGGGTTTTAAGGAGAGTTCACTCAGAAAAATCACTCTGACTGCATTATGGGGATAGGCTGCATGGGGAAATGAGATTATGGTGGCCTGTGGGGACTGAGACATATTTAGGAAATGAGGGCTTTGGAGTTCCACTCCTGGCTCCATCACTTTATAGCTGCGTGATTTTAGGCAAATTACTTAGCCTCTTTTGCCTCCCTTTCCTCATCTGTAAAGCAATAGTATGATAGGATCCACCCTATAGTGTTGTTGTGAGGCTTAAATGAGCTAACACACATAGAGTACTTTTGACAATACCTAGTGTCTACTAAGGGTTTAATCTTACTGTTATCTGAACAGACAGACAGGACTTACCGGGTGAATGAATAAAGGAGGTGGGGAGAGAAGAATCAAAGATGATTGATGGAGGCGAAGTGATAAGGAACCCAGGTGAGGTGCAGGTCAGTTCAGTGGGAGGAGGCAGTGGGACATCCGTGGAGAGAAGTCTAATCTCCTGCTGGAAGCAGCTGACATAGACAGGGAAGACAACCCTGGGGGGAAACACTGAGCTGAGTCTTGAAGGACAAGTAAGAGCTACTGAGGTGATGGGGAGAACGGGGGAGGAGAGCAAACATGTAAAAGCAGGCCAGCAAGAGCACAACATAGCTGGAGCAAAGGCTGAGAAAAGCAACAGTCGGAGATAGAATGAGGAAAAGGCAGGGGTCTGATCTTATAAATGGTGCTACAGAGTTCATGCTTTACTCTCTCAATACCCATAAGGAGAAGGTGACTTTTTGGGGTTTTTTCTCCCTTACCTTTTCTGAAACACACTAACTTGTTAAGATGTCCCAACACCCAAAATGCTCTTGCCCTATTGCTTGAGCTTAATGAAAATAGGTAATGGCGTATCTATTTTATCAATGTAGTAGCTTGGTATATAATGTCTTTTGTGGGCCTGTACTTCTCCGTCATTCTGCATCAAAGGGGGTCTTTCCAGAAGGCGGGGTTGAGGCCTGGCTACCTTTTTCTCTGTGGGACACCCGGGGCAGATGACAGACTTTGATGGTAAGGAAGAAGCTTCTCTGCTCCTCTTCACATGTCAAGTCTGTGGCACAGAGCCAGCTAGAACCCTGAACTTCGCTCACTGTCAAACTCGCAACATGATTTGCTCTTTCCGCCGTTGAGGCTTGGTAAGCCACCCGAATTTAAGCCAGATCTGTAGCTTCAGGCCAACACTGACAGAACATGCTCATGATTTTCCAACATCAGGAGCCCAGGTGTGCTGGTCATGATTCTTCCCGCCCTTTCCCCCTCACTCTTCACAGACCTCACTTACTGTAAACACTCTGCAGCACCATCAGGCAGCCTCCCCGAATTTGGCCAGATGAGTCATGGGCTGCTGACTCCACATCACTGGTGAAACTTCCTGAAATCCTGCACATCCGTATAGGTCTCTAAAATTGAGTCAGTGCCAGTCACGTCACTTCCCAGGGTCGCTAATGTTCTCCCAGGGGATTATTTACTTCTGGCCCCATGGGTTCATTCAGTATCAGGGAGGTGTTAATTTTAGTGCAGAGCTCTGGGATTCTGCGGCAAGCCACTCCTGGGTTCAAATCCTGGCTCAGTCCTCCACTAGCTGTATAACCTCTGACAAGCTAAGCCTCTATTTCCTCACCAGTAAGATCCCCTGTAATATGGCGACGATAATGACTACATGGAAGGGTTGCTGGAAGGATTAGAAACAACCATATAAAGAACCTAGCATGTAGTAGGTATTCAGAAATTGACAGCTACCATTAATAAGAGCATTTTGTAGGAACTAAGCCTTGGGGTATTAGACTGCATGATTGCAAAGTTTCTGAGAGCAGATCAGTGCTGACATGCTATTTCCTGCCAGGCCAGGCAATGAGGTAGGTTGGTGGTAGGGAGAGTGCAGAGGTGATCTTACCCTAGACTCCAGGGATTCTCCTGATTTTAGCCCATTCCCCATAGGACAGCAGGCAGATTAAAGGGCACATCTGTCTCCACGGTTCACCCTTTCTTTGGGCTGAGACATAGACTCCCCAGCTTCAGGGAACCCTTCTGTCTTCTTTATGAACCACTTCTACAATTTCCCCAAGGCTAATATTTAATATATAATTTTCTAATTAGCACTTCTCAGTCACCATCTCCAACTGGTCCACAACACCCTTGGGAACTTTGATGTGATGGAATCTTTAATACTTCGCACGCTGCCCCAGCTCACCGCAACCCTCTCCTCCAGTGGAATTGGCTCAGAAGGCGATTGCAGGAAGAGTTCCTCGCCTCATTCCTAATGATCACTTCCTCATTCACTGTAGGTTGGTATCTCCATCCAGCTGCAGTCTTTGTTCTGGAATCATTCTGGACAGGGAGGGTGAGATACAAGGCACACACAACTTACCTTTCAGGCTTACAAGCTTAAAATCCCCTCTACAGTTACAGCTGAACTGTAGGAGTGCCAGGAGAAAACAGGACGCTTGCAAGGCTCCACAAGGATAATCCTTTGGGATTTGAGCAATCTTCCCAGCCAGACGTTACAATGTGCTAACACCCTTGTGAGTCATGAACTAACTCATGGTCAATTCTGTTTGGAGAACAGGATGAATAATTGAGAGTAACTGGGTGTTTGCCTGAATCTGGGCCTAACCCAGTATTTATTCTGTTTTCTTGTCTCTTTTTGCCTAAAACAAACATGCCTAGTTTCCCATCTTCTTCCACATTCCCTGCTTAATCCTTCACTGACTTTTAGAGGAAAGTCCAAAGTCTTTAACACACTCTAAAGACCCCAATGGGTGGTCCTGCCTATGTCTCCAGCATTTCTATGCCAAGCTAGAAAGACTAGAAGTGAGGGCAGCCACATCCTTGGGGGGGTACGTGCCTAAAAGCCATAAACCTAATTTTTTTTAACTTTTTCTGTTGGAATAATTTTAGACTTATAGACAAGTTGCAAAAAGTAAAACAGAAAGTTCCCCCATTTCTTTAAACCAGCTTCCCTTAATGTTTACATTTTATGTGACCATAGTATAATGATCCAAACCAGGAAAATACCATTGGTACAATACTATTAACTGAACTACAGTCTTTATTTGAATTTCAGCAGTTTTCCCACTAACATCCTTTCTCTGTTCCGGGATCCAATCTGGGATCTCACATTGTATTTACTTGTCATGCCTTTTTAGTCTCTTTAATCTGTGAGTTTCTTAAGTCATTCATTGTCTTTCATGACCTTGACCTTTTGAAGAGTGCTGGTCAATTATTTTGTAGAATGTCCCTCAGTGTGAATGTGTGGTGTTTTCTGGCAAAAATACCACAGAAATGATGTCATACTGTCATACTCAGGGCATCATAGCAAGGGGTACATGATGTGGGTACGCCTTACTACTAGTGATATCAACCTTGATCACTGACTAGATTTTCTTCTTTATGCTTAGCTTTTAACATTTTCATTTCTTCTCTAATTATCCTTTCTCCTCTGAGGAACTCATCCTTTCTCATGAGTTTGAGTATCATCTGTCTATACCTCAAATTAATATATATATATATATTTTTTAAATATATATATATATTTTAAAAGATTTTATTTATTTAATTGACAGAGAGGGAGAGATAGTGAGAGAGATAGAGAGAGAGCACAAGCAAGGTGCGGGGAGCCGCAGGGAGAGGGAGAAGCAGACTCCCTGCTGAGCAAGGAGCCTGATGCGGGACTCCTGGGATCATGACCACAGCCGAAAGCAGAGGCTCAACCGACTGAGCCACCCAGGCGCCTTCCAAATTTATATTTTTATGCTATAGCTCTCCTTTGACCTTTAGGCCATATGTCCAACAGCCTACTTAATCTTTCCACTTGGATATATAATAAGGATCTCAAATGTAATATTCAAAACCAAACTCCTGAATTTCCAGCTGTCTTCTACATCTTTGTGAATGGCAATTCATCTTTCCAGTAGCCCAAGCCAAAAGTATTGGTGTCATCTTTCACTCTTCTCTTTCTTTCCCACTACATTCAAACCATCAGAAAATGCTGCTGGTTCTATATTAAAAACCTATCCAGGTTCTACCACTTCTTACCACCTTCTCAGTTACCACTCTAAGTTACTACCACCACCACCATCTTCCTCTTGGATTACTGTGATTTTTACCCAAATGATGTCCTCGATGTTGGCCTTATCTCTCTACAGTCTTTTTTCCATAGAGCAGCCACAGTAATCTCTCAAAAGTATTAAGTCAGATCATGTAATTCCTCTGATCAAAACCCTCCAATAGCTTCCCATTTCAGTTAAAAGCTAAAATCCTTTTCCGGTAGGGCTATAAGGCCCTACGTGATCCAGTTTGCCAACTTCCCCAGTCATATCTCTTTGTTTTCATCTCCTATTGCTCTCCTCCTTGCTATTCCTTGAAAATCATCAAGTTTGCTCCTAATCTGAGGTCTTTGCTTGTGATGTCAGTCCTCTTTTTTTAGTAATCCCCCGCTCAATAATGGCAACTCAACCAATTCCGCTGCACAAATTGGAGTCTCACAGCCATCCTCAATGATTTCCTCTCCCTCATGTCCAATTCATCATCAAACACTGTGTCTTTTTTTCCCCACATAAACAATGTTCAAACCTATTTCTCATCCTCACTGCTAATACCTGGGTTCACTATTATCTCTCTTTCCTGATCTCTTTGGCCACTGCCAATCAATTCTCCCCACTGTGGCCCAAGCGGACTTTTCTAAATGCCAATCTCATCCAATCACAGCCTGCTTACATGCTCTTTAGTGACTTCCCACAGCTGAGAGACATAGACCACAATTCTTGACATGCCTTACATAGCCCTGCTGGTGTGGCCCTCATTCTCCATACTCCAGCCACAGCAGTCTTCTTTCCATTCCTCAGATGGTACAATGCTGCCCCCTGCCATGGCCAGCTCTTCTTTTTGGGAAACCCTCCACCCACCCCATCCTGTCCCCACTCTCCAGCTCACTCCTTCGCCTAGCTAAAATCTATACCTATACATAGGCACACTGCAACTTAATTATCATTTCATCAGAGGAGCCTCCCCTCCTCCTCCATCCAGAGAGAATTTCTCTGTTTTATACTATCAAAGAATCTTGCTTCGTTCCTACAGAATGTTCACTCTAGCTTGTAATTGTCTATTCAGGACTGGGATTATTTGTCAAATACCTGTCTGCCCCATTAGACTGTAAGTCTTATGATAGAGAGCTAAGTGGTGGACACACGGTTGACATTCAATAAATATTTGTTGAATGAATAATTGAATAAATCAATGAATTGATGAAAATAAAATCATGCTTTTGAAAGACAGATCTGGCAAATCAATTAAAAGGAAGAGAAAGGTGAAGGGCAGGAGTTCTATATAATTAGTAGGCTGTTTGAGTAACACAGGCCAGGAAAGAGGAAACAAAATTCTAAACAAGGATGGTGGGAGAGGAATGGAAAGTAACTGGCTGGGGGGTGGGGGTGTTGTGCCACCAATATACCAGCTTACCCACAAAAAGCCAGCAACACTGTGCTCTGTGCCCACTGCTCATCCCAGATGTGGGCGGAGGATGGACAAACGCCTGGCATGTTCAGCAGTCTCAACACTGGGGGAAGTTCTGTGGTGAAGACAAAAGGCACTTTCTAGGACATTCTCTCTCTTAAAAAGACAAAGCCATTTGAATGACAAAGACATTCCAGGACCATTTTGCCATCCTTTGGACTCTGGAGGTTCATAAATAGGCTGGTTCCTGTGTTTTTAACAGTATCTGATCTATCTGATTACATTTTCGATTTAAATAGTTCCATTACTACAAGAAGCAACTTCATCACCAGGAGGGCCCAGAGCCCAGACTATACTAGCTCCCTGTCATATAATTTAGCCTCAGTCATACCTCAGACAATATTTACACAAGGTCACTTCTTCAAACCATGTCTAGCCTTCCCCAATGACAATATTATTTATGCCAAATGCTTCTCCTAAGGGATGGAAAACTGCCAACTCGGGTTTAATAGGCTATACGGACAGGCTAGAAAAACATCATTTGTGACACACACAGTTTATGCATTTAGTGTATAACTAGATGTACAGACTGATCATTGGAAACATGGCCGAAAGCTGGCCCCAGGAAAAGAAAAAAAAAAAAAAAAGCCACAAAAGCACTAAGGTTTGGATCTTTCCTCCCCGCTATTAGTTTTGGAAACCCTAGGTGTAGTCAGAATTATGAATGCACAAGAGAGAGCTGCCTCAGACTTCAGTGGCTACCTGAATATCCAAAATAGGGGGAAAACCTGCAAAAGGAAATTTAACTCGGGCGTATGTGCCCAGCAGCCGTCCTCCTGTGGTTGCGAATCCATGTGACCATCCAGGGCAACAGGCAGCCCAGGGGCCTTTGGTAACAAAGAACAGTCTAACCCATTGATGTTAACTTACCAAATTATTCACATCCCACAATCTGGAATAGAAATCAGTGGCCAAAATGTGCCTCCTCTACACCTCAGTCAAAACACCTATAAAAATCTAGATACCAGGAGGCAAAGTCTGGAACATAAACGACTTCATCCTGTTGCCAATGAGTTATTAAAGCACCGAATGATGGGGCCGCCAGGGATGTCTGGGCTGCCCTGGCTTCCAAGCTCTGGTCTTGGGGTAGCTTTAATAAGACATTTGGCCAAAATATATTGGTGACAACTCTTTTCTCTTAAAATCTAGTTAAGGATACAAGTCATACCTTCCACTTAATCCCTTACAGACCACTGGAACTTTAAAATCTCTGTAGTAGAAAATTAACAAACTTTGGGAGGCTGAGCTTTCACATAAAGTATGTAATATCTGTCCAGACTTGTATGACTTGTTGATGATAAATATCACTAATAAATAATTTGTACATTATTGTTCTTTAAATAGATACTACCACTCCTACATAAAAACATCATCCTATCTATTTTAAATTTTAGGAAACAAATGTCAATTATAAAGAGGTTTCAAAAATTCAAAATTGTTCCTTAGTATTGATAAATTTGGAATGATTCTTTGTCCTTAAAATGCGTTTTTTAAAGGCTGTAAGTGCTGTATTTTTGCTTCCAAGTGCTCTTTCCAGAGGAGTTGCCTCCCGTGGGCCCAACGTTTAGTAGTACTTGAGATATCATTATTTATTAATAATACTAGCATGCACACTTCCCGATGAGCACTTGGCCAAGCAATTCCATGCCCAGAAATTATTTCAGGACAATAATTAGAAACGTGTGTAGAGATATTCACTACAGAACTACTTACTATTGGTAGTAAATGTACAACAATAAAAGACTGGTTAAACAAAGTAGCCATATGATGGAATACCATATAACCATAAAAAATCATGTTACAGAAAAATATCTAACCTATAGGACAAAG